AGGGGAGGGAAAGGGGAGGAAAAGAAAAGAACTGATGACATACCACAAAACAGATGAATCTGGAAAACATTACTATATGTTAACTGATCGAAGCCAGATACAAAGTTATATTACCTAACTTATAAAAAAAAGTCCACAATAGGAAAATTAAGACACAGAGTTACACACATGGTTGCAGGGTTTGGAGACAGGAAGGAAGGGAAGTGACTGCTAATGGTTATTGGGATGACAGAAAATGTTCTGAATGAAAGTGGTCAGGACAATTACAGAACCCTGAATATACTAAAACTCACTGAACTGGGGCTGGGGTAGAGCTCAGTGGTAGAATGTCTGCCTACCATATGTGAGGCCCTGGGTTTGATCCTCAGCAACACAAAAGAAAACAAAGAAAAAACACTGAATTGTACAATTGTCTTTATTTTTGGTTTGCTACAATAACATGTATAAACTATAAATGTGATGTGTATCTCAAAAAGCTACTATAAGCCAAAAGTGGTGGCACATGCCTGTAATCCCAGCACTCGGGAGGCTGAGACAGGAGGGTCACTGTAACTTTGAGGCCAACCTGGGCTACACAGTGAGTTCAAGGCCAGCCTAAACTGCACAATGAAAACAATGAGTTACAAACTACGTTTTTATTAATGAAACTGGAGATATCAGTTAAGAATGAAGACTATCAGCAAAGTATATGTAATAAGTGCAAATATTGTGTGATTTCGGCTGTAAATATAGACATAAGTGAATACATACACTGAGTCACATTTTTAAATATTTATTTTAGATTACAGTCAAAGTCTGAAAGCTGACTGAAAAAGAAAGCAGAAAGTATGAAAGCCACTCGCTAACACTGCTGCATCTTCCTTGTCCCTCCCATTTATTCCCTAAACACCCTAACCTCCAAGTCACAAATCACACCAGCTCCCCTCGTCCAACTCCACAGTCCTTAGCACTATTTACACAACCCTCCGTGCCCTGGCTGCTGCTTTGAATTTCACTTCCTTCCTACCTTTCTTCTATTCATTTCATCTTAATGAAATAGAGCCAGGATGGGGCATGACGGTACACACTACACAGCTACTGAGGAGGCAGAGGCAGCAGGACAGCAAATTCAATGCGAGCCTGGCCAACTTAGCGAGGACCTGGCTTAAAAATAAAACTAAAAGGCTGGGATTGCAGTTCAGTGGTAGATCACCTACCTAGCATTTGCAAGGCCCCAAAGTTCAATCCCTAATACCACAAAAACAAAATGAAACAAAACGAAGAGAGCCAGGACAATACATATTTTTTTTCTGATCTAGAAGGATTCTTTGATTCTGTTTGACTTTTGTTTGCTTTCTAGGCAGACTTTACTATAAAGTTAAATTTTTCTGTTTAAAACTTATGTTTAACATGGAATATGTCAAACTCACAAGAAAGTGGCCAATACCTTGGACCACAGACTCATTCATCTACCTTTGTTATATTAATCAAATATGAATCTTCACTCATTAGACCACACTGCTCCTTATCTGATGCTACTATTTTACTATGAGTAATATTTGCATATTTTTATATGCCAAGGAGCCTTTTTATATAATATCTCTAACTCTAAAGAGATGGTTATAAACTCTGTACTTAAACCAACTACCTCTATAAGTCAGCCTCCTATTTTGCCATACAGTACAAAATGGCTCAATGAATAATCTCCACTGAACACTGAGCCATTTAAAAACTATTAGACAGTCGATGCTCAATAAATTTTTGTTGAGCTAATCAAAGAATAAGTATTGGCCAGATGTGGTGACATATGCCTATAATCTCAGCACTCTAGGAGGTTGAGGAAGGAGGATCTCAAACTGAGCATGGGAAGTTCAGCAATTTAGTGAGACACTGTCTCAAAATAAAAAATAAGAAGGGCTGGGGAGGTAGCTCAGTGCAAAGGCCCTGGGTTCAATCTCCACTCACACACACACAAAAAGGAATAAATGTTTTAGCACAGTGTCCCTCTTATTTTGAACAATGAAGTACTACTTGGGAAAGACAAAACAGTGAGAACCAACTAATAAAGACTGGTTTCCTCTGTTACAGTGGGCACCTGATGAAATCCCTTAACATGAAGATAAATAAATTATTCAGCACATAACTATAATGTTAAAGCAAGAGTTAAACCAGCTACGAAACAACACTGCCCCTTTCCTGAATGGTGAAGTCCTAAAGGCGCTGGCTGCACTAAGCATCTGTGCTCTGGGCAAGTGCGAGGATGTGGGTGCAGCAGCCACGTCAATGGGAAGGTCCACACACGCAGGGGAGCTGACAAGGGAGATGGAAACAAGGTCTCCCGAGACAAGCAGAGGCGGGGCGGGGGTGGACCTGCACTGGAGGTTACAATGGAGAGAGAGAAATTCTGACAGATAAAGACTCCCTAGCCCAGCATGGTGGTGCATACCTGTAATCCCAGCACTCTGGAGGCTGAGGCAGGAGAATCCTTGCAAGTTTGAGACCAGCCTGGAATACAAAGTAGACTCAAAGCCAGCCTCAAGTGCATAGCCAGACCCTGACTCAAAAAGACCAAAAAAAAAGACTCCCTAACCCTCCTCTGAACAGAAGCATTCTTTTTCTTTTTCTTTAACAGTGACAAAGTTTGTTTGAGAAAGTAAAAGTGAGAGTGGAGAGAAACTGGCTCTGAACAGCTTGTGATACAGGGGAAAGAAACTCCCAACCTGCTACATGTCTGAAACATGAAGTTCATGTTCTCTAAAACTGAAGAATGAATTCTAGGAACAACAGAGGTTAGGACCAGGAAGAATTTATTGAGAAAGAAAGCTTCTGTCAAAGAGGGACAGAAGGGGGCCCAGAAAGTGGGTTGCTCCCCCTTTTTTGAGAAATGATCTCACTGTGTAGTTCAGGCGGCCTTGAGTTCACTAGGGAGCCCAGGCTAGCCTCAAACTCGTAGTGATTCTCCTGCTTCTGCCTCCTGAGTGCTGGGATTACAGGTGTGTGCCACCAAACCTGGCAGATGGATTCTAATGGCACTGAACATGTCTGACACCAAGCTCTTACCTTCTAAATACCACATCTACTATGTAAAAGGAATCATGGCTGATTCCAGAGGTCAAAATGTAGACGATGAGCCTGGAAGGGATAACTGCCAGAAAACAAGAAAGTAACCAGATGTGGTGGCACACCCCTGAAATCCCAACACTTGGAAGGCTGAGGCAGGAAAATCTCCATTTGTTTGAAGTCAGCCTGGGCTACAGAGTGTATTCAAGGCCAGGCTGGACTATATAGCAAGACCCTCGCTTGGAAAAAAAGAAAACAAAAACTTACTGATTTAGGGAAAACTTCCAAGCATAGCATATTATTCAGACTCAAACTGTGGTATATCACACAACTAAGGGAACGTGAATGGGGAGACAGGTCGTGGTGCAGTATGAAATCCCAGCACTTTGGAGGCTGGGGCAGGAGGACCACAAATTCCAAAACTCCTGCAAAGAAAAGCAACTTAGTAACTTAGCAAGACCTTGTCTCGGGAAAAAATAAAAAGAACTGAGGATGTGCTTCAGTGTGCAGGCCGTGAGTTCAATCCTCAGTACATAGTACCACAAAAATAAGGAGGCAAACAAAGAGACATCAAGGAGCTGAGAGTGCAGCTCAGTAGCACTCACCTAGCAACGGGCTGGATTCCCAGCACTACATATATACACAGAAAAGGACGTAAATAACATGCTCTAGAACACAACATTGATGTCAAAGTTCATGTGAAAATCCATAAGGAGATCCCACTTAACACCTACTAGAAAGGCTACAATTAAAAATATGCACAAGGGCTGAAGGTGTAGCTTAGTGGCAGAACAGCTGCCTAGCATGCATGGGCCCTGGGTTCACTCACAGCACTGCATATAATATTAATTTTTTAATGACACGGGATAAGAAAGGAGAAAAATTAAATCACTTAACTGTGGCTAATCTCCAAAACATTGGATCAGTACCGGAAACTGAACTCAGGACCTTGTGCTTACCAGGCAGGCACTTATACCACTGAGCTATATCCCTGGCCCCAGCGACTTCTAAGAGTATTTACTTACACATGTATA